AACCCCAAAAAAAAAAAAAAAAAAAAAAAAAAAAATCAACCATAGTTACATCATTCAGGGTTATACTGTTACCATGTTGATATATAGCCTCCCAGACATTTTTAAACATGTATATATATATATATATATTTTTTAATAAATTTATTTATTTTTGGCTGTGTTGGGTCTTTGTTGCTGCACGCGGGCTTTCTCTAGTTGAGGTGAGCGGAGGCTACTCTTCGTTGCAGTGTGCAGGCTTCTCAATGTGGTGGCTTCTCTTGCTGTGGAGCACGGGCTCCAGGTTCACGAGCTTCAGTAGTTGTGGCACAGGGGCTCAGTAGTTGTGGCTCGCGGGCTCTAGAGTGCAGGCTCAGTAGTTGTGGCGCACGGGCTTAGTTGCTCCGTGGCACGTGGGATCTTCCCAGACCAGGGCTTGAACTTGTGTCCCCTGCATTGGCAGGCGGATTCTTAACCATTGAGCCACGAGGGAAGTCCAAAACGTGTATATTTTTAAAAATAAAAACTCAAATTGTAAAAGTAGTTTTCTTCACTTGTATTAAATTTGATTTTTATCAAACAAACATATGTGCATCATTTAAAAGGCAAAAGTACCACAAAGCTTATAAAATAGCCCCTAGCCCTAACAACACATCCTGCTCTCCACTAGCAATTCTTTTTAACTTCTTTAACTGTTTCTTCTGGCATTTAATCCTCTATTTCTAAACAGCATGTTTATACTATTTCTTGATTTTTAATTTTAGACATTTACCTAATGACGCCCACTATGGCAGGTGAGCATTTAGTCTCTCTTACCCTTCCCTACCCACTTTAGTCCCTTCACAATTCCCTTCCTTCCTCTATCCTGCCAATCTGGTTATATTATAATTTTTGGTGAAATACTTAGGTTTTACTTTATTTTAACAGTGAAATCATTATTCACAACTGGGCCACAAAGTGTGTTGAGATCTCCCCATTTGTACTGTTTTGCCTTGTTTCATATTTTTCTTAATTTTTTTAGGTACTTATTACTAATTCAGAATCAAATTTGGAACAAAGTTAATGAATGGCCTCTGAATACATACTCATCAGGTAACCAATCAGTTCCCCTTTTTTTTTCCTTAGAGACATTCCTTCTTAAGGTCACTGTCTTGCCAACCTGGACAGTTGCTCTATAGGTCTGATGCTCAGCTGTCATTCTGTACCTTCCCTTCACCTCCCCATGACGGGTCTTGGTTTATGTACTATGACCAGGTCCCAACATTTCATGGGATCCTGTTGACCAAATCCTCCAGGAAAACACAATCTACATCATAGAAAAATGAACCACATGCTGTCACAGGTTTCCTCATTCCCGTGTCATCTCATTTCTTGATTATCTCCTCATTTTGATAGACATCTTCTCTCAGCTTTTATATGAGAGGGTATATGGGAAATAAATTTTTTGAGATCCTGCATGTCTGAAAGCTTCTTGAGTCTACCCTTATGTTTGCTTGATACAGTGAGCACGTTTTATATTCAAAACAATTTTCCCTCAGAATTTTGAGGGAATCACTTGGTATTGCAGCTGGACATCATTCCAATTCCCAATCCCTTATATGCAACTGGACTTTTCTCTCTGGAAGCTTTTGGGATTTATGATAATGTGCTTTGCTTGGGGTCCCTCCTACTCATTGTGCGAGGTACTCAGGGGGCCTTTTAAATCTGGAAGCCCATGTTCTTCAATTCTGGGGAATTTTCTTGTATTATTTCTTTGATAATTTCCTCTCCTTATTGTTTGCTCCAATTGTCCACCTCTTTGCTTTCTGGTCTACTTTCCAGGATAGTTCCTCAACTCTACCCTCAAGATTTTCCTTCTGATTCTTTTTGTTTCTACTATTTATACATTTTTAAATTCCCAAGAGCTCTTCCAATTTTTCAAATCCTCCTTATTAGAAAATTCTGTTCTTACATTATAGATGCCATAACTTCTCTAATTTCTCTGAGGATACTGGTGATCGTTTTTGGAGACTTTTCAACTATGCCTGCAACTTTTGAGGAACTTTTTTTTTTTTTTGTCTCTGTCATGTTAAAAGCCTTAACCAAATGTCTGGCGACTGTTTACTGTCTGCTCCTCCTTAAGGGATACTGCAAAGCATATCTGGAGCTCTCTGTGCACAAGGGCAGAACTTGTCAGCAGGCGGGCCTCACTGAAGAATGATCAGATGGGCATGTAGCTCTTTCACTAAAGGATCCACAGGGTCAGTTTTTGCAGGTTTTTCTTTTGAGCTGATGAGTTTCCCCAGAAAGGAATTAACTAATTTTTTGCCTGGGGGTAAAAGCCAGAGTGCCAGCATTCTATGAGAAAAGAAAAGGAAGTGGGATCTGGTTTTCATTGTTCAGCATGTAGACTTTTCCTTAATTCTTGTTTTTTATCAGTGTTTAATCCACAGCCTCACTGGTGCAGGTGATTCTAAATCTAGAGGCTCTATGATTTACCCTCTCCAGGGTTAATTCTTGTCTTCTATAGAATGGAAGGGGGCAGTCACCTGGGTGGTCAAGCTAGCAAAGGGCTTTGAGGTTCTAATTGCTTCTTACTTTAACTTTCAACCAATCCCCTTCATTTCAGCTTTCAGAAGTTCTTAGTGCCTCTAAATCCTCCACCTTTTGGGGTTTCTGAGGCTCAGTTCAGTTTGCTTCTTATTGGTGTCCCCTTGTCCTGCAGGCAGTTAGGTTTTAGCTTTTTTCATTCTGATAGTTCAGTTAACAACCATAGAACTGATTCCTATCTTACTGATTTTGGTAAATCTTTCACCTACTGTCCTCTCTGCTCCCCTTCTGTTTTTGTGGTTGTATAGCTTTTTTATTCTTTTACTGTCATTTAATAGCTTCAATAAGGAAGAAGATAAACGTGTCAATCTACCATCTTTAATAGGAAATTCATGTTCTTTTCTAGCTTTCTCCTTTCACCAAATGTATAACGAACACCTTTCCACATCAAAGGAATGTTACAATGCTACTCTTGATGGCTGACTAATATTCCATTTTGTGACTATGCCACAATTTATTCAATCAATATCTGATTGCTAGACACCTAAGGTGTTCTCTCTCTTTTTTGTTATTAAAAATTCCACTGTGATGAAGATCCTTACAACTTAATCACTTGCATAGATCCATAATTATATCTTTAAGTCCTGTCGCAGTCCTAGAAGTGGCGTAGTCAAATGATAGGTACATTTCTAAGGTTTTCTGATACTTATCTGAGCACTTACTGTTCAAAATAAGTAATGTCCTTGTCAGGTTAAAACTCACACAGACAAAGACAAACACCACTAAATTTTAATCATCAATCTGGTAAGGATTTGGTTGGGGAGAAGTTTGAAACTGGTAGCAAATGAGGTTCCATACATCCACTGATTTCAATAACTCTTGTCACTATATCCCTATTACTTGGGATAATAAAGAACTGACTGTATAAAATGATTGACCTAATAAATAAAAACAGGCAATTGGTTTGTTTTAATATATGCATAGATACATGCAGATAGAATAACTGCCCCCCACATGCACACACAAACACACACTTTAATACTAACCTACTTATAACCATAGCTGTTATCACAGGCTCCCAGCCTGAGTGGAGAACCGTCCTTGTGGCTGGATGTTTGGCAGCTATTATAATCCAGATAGGAGTCAGAGCCAAGAAAAAGACACCAACTAATGGAGGAATGTAGTAATAGGTCTCTAAAATTCAAAAAGAGACAACGTTTCAATCTCTCTTATAACCATATAGCAAATGTAAGTATTAAAAGTTTACCAGAAGATATGTTATCAAACATACTCATGCTGTATACTTTCTATAAATTTGAAACAAATTGAAAACTATAGATAAGGTAAAAATGTTAAATAATGTAACTGAAAGCTAATACATTAATTCAACATTTATTGAAATAGTTATGTGACCTAGATGTGAACAACAACAACAGTAATAATAACAAGAATAACAACAGTAAAAAATCTAACATTACTTGGCTCCTACCATTTTCCAAATATTGTGCTAAATGCTTTATGTTCATTGTCTCATTTAACTGTCCTCACAAGTATGAGGTAGAAACTCATTCCTACCTTATGAAGAAACTGAGGCTTAGGAGCTTAAGAACACCACTAAGAAATAGGAAGAATTGGGAGAAAATGACATCTGTCTGACACTGAAGTTAGTGCTCTTAACTCCAAACTATAGAGTCAAATAGGACATTGTTTTTACCCACCAGGATCTTATAGCACAAGCATTCCATGGAATATTGGCCAATGGATTGGTAATAGATATCCTCCTAATTCTGAATAGTGTTCCAATATCCAAAATGAAATTGAAATACTAGGTTTAATAAACAGATTTCTTCACTGCAAAATTACTCAGAACCTTTAATATGCAAAGACAGAATACAGTATACTATATTAACCAGAGTTTGGCCAGACTACTTAAGTTTCACATCTGATGTTACAACTTACCTTGGACGAGAAATTTAACTTCTAAAAAGAAAAACAAATATCGTATATTAACGTATATATGTGGAACCTAGAAAAATGGTACAGATGAACTGGTTTGCAGGGCAGAAATAGAGACACAGATGTAGAGAACAAACGTATGGACACCAAGCGGGGAAGGTGGCGGGGGGTGGTGGTATGGGATGAATTGGGAGATTGGGATTGACATATATACATTAATATGTATAAGATAGATAATTAATAAGAACCTGCTGTATAAAAAAAATAAAATTAAAGAAAAGAAATTTAACTTCTATAAATTTAAATTTCCTTATCTATAAAATGGTAAAAATTATTATAACTATTTCATGGGGTTATTGTGAGTCTTAAGAGAATTAACACATGTAATTTAACTAGAATAGCACCCAGGCACATAGTTAACATTTACTGAACACTTACTAGCATCATAATCATCATTGCCATTGTTATTAACATCTTTCTATTTGTGACATACTCAGATAACAGAGTGCCAGGATTTTTTTTTATACCTCTCTGTGGTAGATTGTCTTACTTGATCATAATTATTCATTCTCTCCCCATTCTTGTTAATGCTTTCCTATAGAGAGAGTTTAGGAAAGCTTATTGACTTTGGGCTTGGCTATTTGTCTAGCTTTGTAGACATGATGTATGCCATCTCTAAGCAAAATCTGAAATGTGCTTTTGGAAATTACTAGAAGATTTATAAATATATGAAGATAGATAGATAGTAAACTGTTTTCAGACACTGACAACCGGTATTGCAGGACTGTGATCCCTGAGAGAGGGGAAAGAAATGAGATAAGCCCTACAATAGACTGAGCTTTCTGACTGAAGGCACATTCTAGACCACAGCTCAGGAAGGGAGAATTTCAGCAGAGT